TATATATATATATATATATATATATTTCCCTCTTATGTTTTAAGTTGTTATTATACAGTCATCTTGTTTTATAGCATTTATAATTACCTGCTCTCCACAGAACCACCAGTACCGCCACCAAGGTCCATCTCCCTCACCCCAGAATCAGTGAGCCAAGATCCGAAATCAGAGGAAGCTGCCTCTTTGGATAGCCTATCCGTGGAGAGCATGGTCCTTACACAGATCCCAGAGAGAAGTTCCCCAGATGGTGGCGAAGACCACAGCAGTTCGACCAACACCTATGTGGGGGCTTCAGAAATGGCAGTGACAGACACTGATGCATGGTCAGATTGGGAGGAGATGCAGGACAGTCCAGCACAAGATTTCTCTGGGGCACTGCTTGCCGTGAACCAAGATAAGCTGAAGGTCTTTGATGACTGGGGGAATGGTGAAGATGATGCAACCTCTGACGGTGATGTTCTGAAAGAGAGTAGTTTAACGAGTGTTGTGCCCTCAAAGAAAACTTGGTCTGATTACACAAGCTCACATGATGTAAGATACGGGGAAACTAGTCCATATCCAAAATCTAGTTCAAGTATGAAGCTGAATAGTGTCTCGCAAAAAAATTCTGAAAAACACGTTGAACCAAAGAGGTCTCAGAATCTTGGAGAGGAATACGATATCTTAGCCATTAAAGTCAATAAAAAGCATGATGCAGAAATGGACTTATTTGCGGACATTGCACCACAATTTAACACAAAGAAATATGATCTGGAAACAATGCTCTTAGAAGCCACATCCAAATCTCAAGGAAAGCCAAAAGTTAGAACTCTCTCTGTCTCTGAGACACTGGCCGGGACAGACATCAGTAGTGCAGATGTGGGGGAGGCTTGGGGAGAGGAAGGAGCCTGGGGAGACCAGATTGATCTCCTCCTAGAGTCAGCGACCAGTTCACCTTCAAAGGAATCCCAGGAGGAGAGTGACAGACTAACTTCCTTCAACTCTAGTGACTTGCCAGAAAAGGTAGATTTGGCCTTTGGAAAAACTTCAAGTCAATCTAAGAAACAAGAAGCAAATGGGGGTTTAGTGGATACATGGGACGAGGGATGGGGAAGTGATTTTTAAGAAGATTATTTATGTTTTAAATGTTATCAGAGGCTTATTATGATTATAGCTGTATATAAGACTATAAATTCAGTATTTTTTTCCTTTTTTTTTTCTTACAAAGAGATCAGTATTATTTTTGAAAAATCATCAAAGATAAAAATTGTTAAAACATTCCAAAGTATGGTTGTATTCACTTGTTTATGCACATTGCTTAACTATCTATATATTAATAATTATTGTATATACCTTATTTACATGCAAAGACATTACTGAGGTTATAATACATTAAGTGATAACTTTATATAAAGTCAACTTGAAGTTTAGTCGTTGTTGAATAAGATAATGAAAGCCGAAGCAAAATCCAATACCAAAGTATTTACAAATATAAGGAAAAATCTGAACCCAAAATGACCCAAATGAAATTCGAAGTTGTATATCATATAATTTCCATATCTTCACTTAACCCACTGACACCAGATGACATCTAAGCACATCATGGCAAACAGGACCCAAATGCTATGCATGACTGATCTTGATCTAAGTTGTTTACCCTGGTAGGTTTAAAGTCTTTCTAGCCTCTTTTCCTAGCTAATCATGTATGTCATACCCAGATGCATAAAGAACAGTAAATATATGATTCCAACACTTAATTTTTCACACGAGTGGCTTACCACTTCAAACCCAGCACTTGCGGTACAATGGGGAAATCCTTTCAAATAAGTGAGCTGAATAGTTCTTATCATTATGTAAATGGATCATATAGCACAAGGGTGCTGTCAACATCACGAAGAAACTGACAAACAGAATAACCATCAAATTTCGTAAGTTTTTAGTATTTGTTTATAGGTTCATGTGGGGCACACTCAGTACATCTTGAAGCTTGTATTATGATGTGGTAGTCCCCATGAATGCATATCAGAGTGTTTTAACCTCAACTTTTTATGTGTAAAAGTGTGCATTTTGCAAACATTTCTGTGACAATAATTTTCCAAGCAGCACATAGTTGCTATATATAAATATAATAGGGGAAAAAATCTATATGTATTTATGTGCACACATATATACACATGTATACCTGCAAATATATATATATATATATATATATATGAGTGTATGTATGCATACACACACACACACATATATTTAGTTATTATCTTCAGAGGCAAACTGTACAGCAAATAAGCATGTGTGTATATATAGATTCCCTTACAGTTGTGTTTAGAATTTTTTGTATCACATCAAACCGCTGCTGTCAACCATTAGATCTAATATCTCATGATTGAGTTTCATATTTTTATCTTGTAATAACAATAGTGTGAGGATATTGTCTATGTATAATGGTGTCTTTTCATTTGTTTGACTCCTATAATTTAGGTGAATTATGGTCAATTATATATGCATGTGTGTATGCATATACATACATCTATATACATATGTATATGCATATACATATACATATACGGTATATATATTTACTTTCATATATATATATATATATATATATATATATATANTATATATACACATACACACATATATATACACATATGCGCACGCGCGCGCGCACACACACACACACACACACACACACACACACACACACACACACACACAGATATATATACATACATATATACAGACATACATTTTCACTCACATACCCATATGAACCTCATCCACATCCACATCAGCATTCAAACTTATACTCAAAAGAGAAAATCATTTAAAGTCAGCAAAAGAAAATTTTTCTTTTAATTATCATTGATTTTTATTTGACATCTACACATTCAGTAACCTAGAGGACCAGAGTATCACTCTTATGTTTGAAAGAGGGCTTATATACTGCCGCAAGTGATTAGTGTTAACATACAGATAGAGGTGGTCACCTATATTTCCTAAAGGTTGAGGCTATTCATCATTTGACAAATGCCTACATTATTTATTTATCATTATATACACTTCAAACACACACACACACACACAGATTTATTTACATACACAAGCAAGGGTAGGCAGGTAATTAGCATAGAGCCCACATTTTTTTTTTTTTTTTCACTTGCACCACTGTTTCTTTTATGTTTTGTTTTGTTTTCTGGTAAGGTTGTCATGGTTAACCAAATCACAGAGCTACATAACTTTTAAGTTCACAGTCTTTCAGGTAATTTAGTACATATGATAACATGAAGTATATGCAGTTCAGTTCAGCAGTCTCACATACAAAAGACACGCAAACAGACAATTGTATTTAGATAAATTAGATATATTTATGTGACTGTAGCATGAACATATCACATTGATGTCATCTTGTTATTTTCTCAATGATGTACATATATTTACATGATTATACCACTGGTACAATACAATTGGTGTTGATAGAGCCTATATTTGTGTGCTCTCTCTCTCTCTCTCTCTCTCTCTCTC